ATATATATATATATATAAACACACACACACACACAAATATAAAACAAAAACATTTAGCAACAATTTTGTCTACCGCCTAAGCGGATTTTCTTGAAATTACGAGCGATTTTTGCATTATATACATACACATATAATGTAATATATATATGTATATTGATATATATTTATATTACACATAAAACCTAATTGAAACTATGATAATTTTTTAAATTAATTATAATGCTGAATGCTAAAATGCTAGAAATGCCGTTTTGTCAAATGAAAATGAGAAGAAAGTTCTACAAGTTTTCCAATGCTAGCCAAGTACGAATCTCATTTAGCGCTGTTCCAAAAACAAAAACAAAATCGAGACAAATTTACATGTTATTATTGCTAATTTTAAATTACAATTTTAAACTGCCATAAGAAAGAAAAAAGAAAAAAAAAACGCAAACAAAAATAAAAATAAATGTAGAAATTTAAAGAACCAGCGACCATTTTTTAGTAACCTCAAAAATAAAATAGAAATCAAATATATATTAAATAAATATTTACAACTTTTGACCAAAAACTAAATTAAAACAGGATATTAAACCTGCAGCTGACCAGATTTTCGGAGCCAAAACCTACCAAATTTTTTATTAAAAAGATATTTTCCATTTATTAAAGAAAGAAAAGAATAAAATACAAAAAACAATCTAATATACAAAAACAATCTTTTATATACGTCAAACTGAATATATTAAATTTTTGCATACTTTTACATATTTAAAATTTATATATATATATATACACATTAACATATATATGTGAATGTATATGTATCTGTATGTGGTCCAATATTAAGCTAAACTACACAAACACAATCACCCACAACAAACTCTCAAGTTGGTCGAAATGCAAATCTGTAACAATCAAAGACGAAGAAGAAGAAGAAGAAGCGGAGCAACAACAAAAACAACAACAGCAAGAATTTTACAGCGTTTAGTTCTTAAGTTAATGTTAAATACAACAAAAAACACAACAAACACAGAAACAAGCAAAACTCTGATTTGGCTAATGTAAAAACAAATTCGTTTTCAAACTGTTCTCAATAAAAATGAGCGATAAAAAATAAATCTAAGGGCCTTTTATTTTATCAAATATTAAAAAACCATATATGTATATTTTCTTTTGTTGAGATTTAATTTAATCTTCTTAAAATTTTTAAAATATTTATTCAATAAATTAAATTGAAGAAATCATAAATTCTTTAAAAATATAATATATAAATTTTACGTACAATAGTTGATATTCTACTATTATAGGATATAAGTATTATAATATATAAGATTCGAAATATGAGATATAAGAGTTAAGTTGTAGGATTAGATGTAAGATATTTTTAGATTTAAGATATTTTTATTTTTGATCAAGTTTTTTAGCTATTTTTTTGTTTAGCTTATACAAATTTAAAGAAAGAAGTAGACATAGATTTTTAGTGAGTTTTACCTGAAGAATTAGCATTAAAATGCATCACATTTTATTAATTTTGTCTACGAAGTATTCAAGTAAATATTCCATAAAGCAGATATCCCTCCTGATAATGATTTGGTAGAGGAGCACTCACAATGTTTGTCATATGCCGTTATTTGAGTTATATAAACCTTAATTGTTGTCGCACTGTTGCGTAGTCACATTCTGCTTTTAGATAAGATAGGGAATACGACAATAGCAATAGTACTCGTAACCCAGATAATAATCACAAATCTGTTCAGTCACTTGCCTTTCTCGTCAGCATAGTGAACAAAAATAAGATCGATACACGTAATATATACATATATATTCCATATAGATATGTTATCAGACTTGATTTGTTCAATTGCGTCACTGCAACTCATTATAAGAAATCCCGTTACTTATTAATGATATATTTATTTATTTTCCAATCATATTTCAATAGCGTTTTCAGTTTTAAGTGGGTAGCTTGAACAATTTGTATAAAGTCTACGATTTCGTCACAATCTATACATACACTCTATTTCTATATTTTAAAATACTTCATTTGTTATTACCATTTACTGTTTACCTGATAGTCGATCTCAGCTAATACAAGGCTACTTCATATTTTTCTACAACCGTAGGCTTTCTTTTATTCATATTCGTATGATCTAAATTGATTTGATCTACTGGTTCTGCTACATTGTCTGATATGTTTCTTCTCATAATGAATACTTAGGTGTTAAAATTGAAGCAGCTGAGCTAAATTGTGGCACTTGAAATATACCACTCATAGTAACAGGTTATTTCTGGAATCAAGGCAATGCACAGATTGCTATCCGATAATGGTGTCAAAGTAAATAACGTATTTTGTATACAAAATTAATTTTGATTGCGATTATCGTCATCAGAAGTTTGAGCAGAAATATTTCTTTCATAAAATAAATTACGATTTCAGAGCAGAAAGTTCAATAAGAACTTGATTATTTTCAATGTTAATTTGATAAGCAGTAGTTTAAATACATTGAAAGATATATTAAAGTATATTTGAAAGATAAAGTATATTGAAGCTATCTAAAATGTATATTATTTTATATAAAACTATATGGAAATCTAAAAGAAATTGTGGCACGTGATTTATAAAGATGCAAATAACTCAAATTAGCTTTCTTCTTCTGATCTTTTAAGCTCATCTTAAGCTCAAGTCACAGCTTGCTGTATTCAGTACTTAGCAAAGCTACATATTTTGCGAACAGATCGCCAGACTGTACTAATTGGCAGCTAATTAGCTAATATACAGCCGCTTGGCTGACTGCAAATCAGCAAAGTACACAACGAGCGTATAGCGAAAATAAAAATCTTTTCTACAGAGGAAAAATCAAAAAACTTCGCTTTAATGAGGAAGCATCATCCCATCGATAAGAATGCCTCTGCTACTGGAAAAATCACAATAGTTTCAGTTCGAACAAGATAAACCGGTTTTATTTCTCTTTCGTTTGTTAGATTTCACAAAGCTCACGTTACGATTCCCGAGTATTCCAACTCAGTGCTTCTATTTTATTTTATTTTATTTTTATTTTTGTTTTTATTTTTATTTTTTTATTTTTATTTTTTTTTTTATTTACTTAAGTCAAAGCTCAAGTTGAAGTTGAGCCTGAACAAGGCAATTCTTTATAACAGATTATGAATTTATGCTCTGCAGGTATGCTGTGACCACAAGCCAGTTTTAACTTGATCTCAGAGCACAGGGCTTGCACTGAGTGAGTAAATTTCTTAAGACTGCTCTAAGCCTTGGCTTGAAATCGATCTATCTCCCAATAGCCTTTCCCTGCTATATGCCCTTTAAGCATTCAGTTTCTTATTAATACATATATGTACATCAAATATGTAAATAAATTTTAACTTATTAGAATATTCCCTTTAAGTCTCATTTCCTCAAAAACCTAACCATTTTTCTACTCATTTAAGTGATTCGTTTTTATCTAATCTGAACAATCTAGCCAGTGCTACTTGTACAATACATGAACTCCTTATAAAAGCGAAGAGAGAATGCTTCTAGATAGCTGTCGCCAATGAGTTGCTAAGCGCCTCTAATGAGATACCCGTCATTTGTGGGGCATGAGGGTGGTATAAAGCGCTGTCAAGTATAATTTAATAAATTTATGATGATTACAACAATGAAGCGCAAAGATTGAAAGACTGCAACGCATTAACATACATACGTACACCCACAAAAGGCAATCAGATTGTGGGAGTTCTCTAGGAGGGCGTGCCACAAGGGCAACAGCCAACTGCGGGAATGTGTTGGGGTTGTGTTGGCGGAGTCTTATACTTATTTGCAATGACAACGCTCGAGAGTTGAACTCGAGTTACACTCGGAAATGCTTGTTTATGCGAATTAATAATTCAAAATTGCTTTGACACTTAGTAACGGCACATGACCCGATGACTAATACAAAAGCCCTTGATGCGAATAATAGCAACAACAAAAAGGGCAATTTTTCAGGGTGCACGCACATAAAGAAAGTTTTTTTATTTTCGCATTTATGTTTTGTTCTTTATGTACACTGAAGCATAATAAAGCAAACACAAAAGCTTACACACGTACGCACACACACAAACACATGTTTACGATAAACGAAAATGCTCCCAAAAATGTGTTTTGACATAAAAATACAAAAAAAACATAATGTTGGCGCTCCCAGAAAAGACGAAAGAAAAAACACGCACACACCTATACAAACAGACGAACTAAAACAAAGATAGAAATCAAGCTATGCGGAGAGTGTGGAGCGCCTAGCTGAGCATACGAAAAGGCAATGTACTCTCCGCACATGTTAATGTGTTAGTGACTATTGAAAATTAGGAGAGTGCAAAAAGAGAGCAGAGCTTAATTTATGTGCATTGCCACAGAGCTCTGCGTGCTTTATTTTAATACACTTATATTTGAGAAGCAACAGTTATGCATTAGAAAGAAACAGGGGCGTAGTTAAGACAATGAAGATTCGGGCAGAACTATACTCCTAGAGTCCGGAAGGATTTGTACGTGAATGTGAGAAAGTGAAATATATTATTGTTAAAGGCAGATGATATTTAAGTAAAGTAATTCTGTTACTTCACAACACAATTTCAAACTTCATTTCAGTTTCAGCATATATAAATATTGTTTAATAAAAAATATTAA